AAGATGGAGGTAAAGGGGAGGAAAAGGGGAGACATCTATAATACTATCAACAATAAGTTTATTTAAATAAAAGAAATGTATAGAACGATCATATCTATCACTCTCCAAAATTTTGTAAATAATAACAATGAGTTGAGTTGCCTTGGACTTACACGGAGTCCTTGGTGGAGTTTCGGCAGTGGTCCTTTGAGGCGGGCAGACCCCCCACACGCTGCAGGTGCGCTCCGTGTCTGCCTCGCTTATGGAGAGAGTGGGGACCCTCCTTATCTGGGTGTCAGAGCATCTGCAACATTGTCCTGGAGCGAGAAGACACGACTTTAAGGGGTGCCCGGATGTGGGGGCCACGCCTGGCTCCACTTCCTGCCCCCTGCTTGCTTGGTCCTCTTGTTTTCCACATCTTTCTAATTTATGCTATCTTGCTTTTTTATGTATCCTTATAAATCCCCTTAAATCCATTCTGAAACAAAGCAGAGTATAAATTTTTAAAATTAACTAGTATGAAAAAACATAAAATAAATCACCTACTATATATTTAAGAACAACACACTGTGTTTTCAGCCCTGGGAGGGATTTTAGCTCATTCTATAGTTAAGGGGCTTGAGGCTGAGAAAGGAGACTTACTGCCAGGTCTCACGTACATCAGTCCTGTCTTTCTTCACTAAAAATGTCTGCATACAGCCCAAAGCTAGACACCGCAGAAAGAAAAGGTTTCCCTCCATGTCAGTTCCTCAGGGAGCCATCAGTGTGGTGTATGCAGGTGTGTGTGTTTGTGTGCACATCCCACCACAACTGATTCCCTCCTATGTGGTAAGTTCCTCCCAACCAGGAGCAATTCCCCGAACTCACAGGGCCAAAGAGCCGCATGTGGCTCGTGAGCCGCAGTTTGCCGACCACTGACCTAGTAGATTCAGAATGCCTCCGTCTTCAGAACCTTCATTTTTCTGTTAGTGTACAATGTTGTTTAGTATTTTCGATTATTAATAACAATATAATATCCAACATATATTAAGTGCTTAGCACATGCCAGGGGCTGTTCTAAGTACGGCATCTGTATTAACTCATTTAATTCACACAACAACCTGCTGAGTAGGTACGATTACTATCTCCATTTTGCAGGTAAGGAAACTGAGGGGCACTGAGAAGGAAAATATATTCCTATTAAAGTATATTCCTTAGTTGTTTGCTAAGTGAGCCGTATTTTAATCTGCTTTTACAATTCAAACAGGATAGATAAGTCTACTGATAATCATTTTGAAAATAATTCGAGACTTTTGTCTTTCTGAAGCAGTCCATTGAGCTATAATTATCTCCATTTTGGAAGTTAAGTATCAACAACTTTGCCTGATTCCTCCAGATAATGGAGGAAAATTATCCAGCCTTCTCGCAGCCCACACATGTATCATATAACCCATGAAGTTTCCAAGTGATCATCTGTTATCACTCTTTCTTGCTGGGGAAACAATACAGAATTAGGAGGTATTTGCCTGTGTTTAAGCTCCTGTCCCTAGTGTCTTATATGTTGAGTGAAGCTAGCCCCGCCATCCTGCCCACAACAATACAACCATGGATTAGTGCATGGGCTCTCTGGAAAGAGGACAATGACCTCTGTCCCATACAGAGTAGGGGCAACATGTCTTTTCTTTGGGGGAAAGTGGATGCTGAAAACAAGGTAGGTCAGGTGGCTAGGCCATATTTCCAGATGAAGTGGAAGTTCCTGGTTGGTGTTGGTGCCTTTTTCTGTTCTGGAAGGTCTGGAACAAGGAGGATCTGGCTGGCTGGGAAGAGTTATTTTCTTGTGTCCTGATCATGAACTCTCATTACTGAGCATAACCGGTGTCTGTCTCTTTCTCCCAGTCTTAAAGAGTCAAACTAATATGACAGACGAATAGAATGTGTTGGGTTATATCCAGCGCCTTGCCTAGCACTATCCTTTGGATTTAAGTAAGCTAGAATAACAAGTCTACTCAATTAATATAGGTCTGTTTGGAATTGCTTCATGCACATAATTCTCCCCCTATCACTTTTGTGCAAGATAGGTAAGAATTACTCACCTATTAGCTGCTAAATTTGGTGGAAAATGTAAGGTTCTTTATAAGGTCAATTAGCCTCTCAGTGGTGTTGCTAGCAAAATGGGAAAGACACACAGGTATATTCAGCTCTTGTATTTAATACACTTTGTTTGCCACTAACAGCTTATTGTAAATATTTTTAGACATAAATTAATGGTTTTAACTCCTCATAAATACATTCTGGCTCTATAACTGAATTCGGAAAAGTTCTCCAGTGTTTATAAACCTATATAGTAAGCATTGCAACACATCAACTTAATACAAAAGATACAAAGGAAAGATGATTCATCATTCTCAAGTCTTTATTAATTCAGCATCTACAAGCTTCTAAAAGTTTCCAATAGGGTCTGTATAGAACAAGTTATTAGTGCATTTTATTTGTCTGTTGTTGTTTTTTAATTTCCTAAGGGGAAAAATGCCATCATCCCTTTGTTAGCATCAAATATGTAAGATCACTGGGTAGCATCAAATTTACAACAAAATGAGATAATTATGCTAACTAATTTTAATATAGTAATATGAATCTGTTTTATTTTCTTTCTTTTTGTTCATTCTGTATGGGATAACAGTAAACCCAACGAGGAATAACTTGTCATTGCCTGGGTAGTCAGCAAGGTCACCTAGATTCAGGCTTCAGACCTAACCCAAAAGACCAACTTTCACATTCCTCTACTTTGGATAGAATATCCACATCAACATTGACTATGTCATGCCAGTCAGAAGCCCCAAGGAAGGAAGGAATGTTAAGTGAAATTTAGTTGGCAAAAATGTTTTGAACTCGGTATTTAGGACAGGAAAATTTTTTAAAGGTCTTTATAAGTAGAAAAAAAAAAGAGATAAATACCACTGGCTAAAGAACCACTCAGATAAACCTAATAAAGTTCTTTATAGAATTATATTTTTAAAAAAGAGAAAAGAATCTGAGAAGAAAAAAGGTCCAAGAAAGAAAAGCTGCAAAGGACATAAAGATGAGACCAAGTAAAAGATGGAAAGGAAAATAAAAATGAAGGAAGGCGCTACTAAAAAGTGGGAAGCATCCAGCTTGTCACCCTTCCTCCCAAGTGGCCTTGCAGACAGGAGCTCTTACTTCACCATCTTTATCCGAAGCCTCTTTATTGTTGGGGAAACTCGTGTTCGGCAGCACAGAATCAAATGCTGCTCAATTCTTTATCATTTGACTTTGAAGTCAGAATGAAAAGCGTGTAGCAGGGACATTAAGAGACTAACTTGAGGCAGCAGACGTGATAATGATCCCTAGCTCAACTGCAGGAAACAAGGGATGCTTGGTGACTCCCCTTTGTGTTAATAAATAGCAGAGCAGTGGGACGATGCAAAAAAAAAAATTTTTTTTTGGTCAATTTAGAAGCAACATGAAGATGGACTTCTATGTGGATTATTTCCCTTTATCATGCAATTTGGCTTTACCAAATCTGGATATGGTATTCCCACAGGGATGGAGCTGTTTGCTTATAATAGTGAAATGGCATTCTAATACTTTGATGGCTTGAAAGACATTTATGCTAGCCTGTTCGTACACATATGATCATAATAAAGAAAATAAGCAATCATCTTTAGCACATTACAAGTTAATGTTTGAAGGTTAGCCAAATAGCTGTCATTCATTCATTCATTCAGCAAATATTTATTAAGTGCCTGCGATATGCCAGCTGCTGTTCTAGAAAGTGGGAATTTAGTTATCAACAAGACAAACAACGTCCCTGACTATGAAGTATTTGCTCCACAGAAAAGCAATGAAAAGATTGATTGCCTTCTTAGTCTGATACAGAGCTAATTGATTTATTCTCATATTTACTCACACAGCCTTTTCACTTGCCACGAAGTGTTTTTTTTTAAAACCTATTAAATAGGGAAGAATAGTGGGTGAAGAGAAATGACCGAGGGTAGGGTTCATCAAACAAACACATAAACAAACAAACCTCCCAAAACAAAAACACTTGATTCTACCGGCCAACTGTAACTAGGGGCATAATTCCTTCCAGGCAAGACTGTATGGCTCTCAACACAGGCAGTTTGCAAGCTAATCAACATTCCAAAGCACACTGAAGACCATCTGATAGGATTATACCTAGACCTGTTATAGATTAAACTCTCTGGCCTGTTTGAAACCCTAGTAACTAACCCAGATTTATATTTACAAAGCAGAGATGAGGAAAATTCCTTCTTGATAGGAAATCCCTTACCTCTCTCCTTGCCTCACCCAGAAGCAGGG